GGAACAGGCTGCCCAGGGAGGCTGTGGAGTCTCCTTCTCTGGAGATATTCCAGCCCCGCCTGGACACGGTGCTGTGCAGCCTGCTCTGGGTGACCCTGCTTGGGCAGGGGGCTGGGCTGGGTGACCCACAGAGGTCCCCTCCAACCCCGAACATTCTGTGATTTTTCGGTTACTTTATTACAGCAGTGGGAGCAATGAATGCTGTTGCTGCCAAAAGAAAAGAGTTGGAAAAGCTGGGGGAATAAAGGAGGAGGACGCTGCGTGTTCGATAGCCTGGGGGGTTCTTGGAGAGAGCGATGCTCCGTTCCGAGCTGTGCTCTGCTGCAAACTTCCTTAGCGCTCTGCTTCCGCGGGCCTTGCAGAGTAACCTGGTGCCCATTGCTGTAGCAAGTCGTGAAACGACGAGCGAGGGGCCTGCGTGTGGCTCCCCAAGACACGGGCGGTCTCTTGTCGCCAGGCCGCTGGCGGGCTCGCGGTGCATTCCCTGTTAACAAAACTGAGCAGAACGCTTGGAGGCGGATGGGTTCTGAACACATTATCATGGTTTTGCAGTAGACTTAAATATTGGCTTTGTCTACTCTGAAAGACGTGTTAATGATGGTGTCAGGTTTAATTCTTTATTGGAACATCAGAGGCACTCTTTGTTCCTTTGCACCAGCCCCTTTACAGTCTGAACGAATGTAAAGAGCATTTCTGTGCCTTTTTCTTGTGATGTGCCATTGATCTGGTTTCATTTGGGTGCTGGCAAGGGAAACGGTGTAGTCTTTTGGAACATAATACACAGAGATATAAAAAATAATAGCATGCATGTGAAAATGCAAAGAAGTATTTCTTATTAGAAGGCAATGACCACTAACTGCTAAAGTATAAATGTTATTTAATGTGTGTTCTTTTTTACTCAAGCTTGTATTAAGACCAAATATTCTTTGCTTCTAACAATGCTTGTAAGTTCAATAGGCCTAATATTGACATTTTCTTTCAACTAAATGAATGTAACTCCTGTCTGTATAATTGTGGTTTTTTTCCAATTTGGGAATATATAAAAGTAATGAGAACTTGCAGGTTTACCCAGCCGTGTAAAATTCTGATGAACACTTGTGGAATGATGGAAAGATCAAATATAAAAGTAATTTATTAATGCCTCTTTCTCTGCAGGGTGCTGGTCAAGACAAACTTGGGATCTACGTCAAGTCCGTTGTGAAGGGCGGCGCCGCGGATGTGGTTAGTAATGTTCTTAAACGTCAGAAGTTCAGAGGTAGAAAGGTCCTTTGGAAATGCTCTGAAATCCTTGGTTTGCTGCTATGTGCGAATAATTGTTTTAATTTAGGCCACGTTAGCCCTGGTGTATGAATTTTCTTCTCTCCTGGGTATGTTTAGGATGGTCGTCTGGCTGCAGGGGATCAGCTGCTCAGTGTGGATGGTCGGAGCTTGGTGGGCCTGTCCCAGGAGAGGTACGGAACGCTTCCCTTGGCTGTCTTTACATGAAGAGGATGCTAGAGTAATAAGTTACTGAAAAGGGCTGAAGCTCATTTTTTTACCTGTTAGGCTTTGTCTTGAATTTTATAACTGCCTATGAATAACCTTGGTAACAGGGTCAGCTGTTTGTGTGGTACTTTCTGTGTATGATACAGGTTACCTGCATAGAAGAGGTTGTGTTACACGCTCGGGCTTTAGTTTTGAGCAAACTTTATTGAACTCCAATTTTAAATATTTTGGCTTCTGACCTTTAACTGCAGAAACTGCAAATCATAATTGCCTGTAGGTGTTGTCTCTTTAATAAGCATCCCTTCTAGTTATCATCATCTAATTTTTTTCAAAGTGATTTGAAGTATTAATCAGAAAAAGAGTGTTTTGTCAAACAAAATATTACTGGAATAAACGTGAGAAATCGTGACACACAAACTGATGATAAGAAGAACTAAGTAATACAGTGCCTAATTTTATTTTCTTTTCATTTCTTTGGCTTTTATTGCAGGGCAGCAGAACTTATGACTAGGACAGGTTCCGTAGTAACACTAGAAGTAGCAAAACAAGGAGCAATTTACCATGGTCTGGCAACCCTGCTTAATCAGCCATCCCCAATGATGCAAAGAGGTAAACCCGCTAATATCATTTATGTTGGTGACAGCTTTATAAGTCTTAGAATGCAGAAAATAGAAGATTTCACAGTAGCTTGCCAAACTACCAAAATATTAAATTGGAAAAGAAACATAATTGCACAGAAAAGAAGCATTTCTTTTCTTATCAAAACTTCATCTTTTTTTAAATACGGTTTGAGATTATGGTAGTATTAATTATTAATAAATGCTTTGCATATGTGCCTTTTTAAAAAATTAAGTGATGCATTTAAACATGGTTCCGTTTCAAAATAATTTCCTTTTTAACAAGTGGATTGTAATGAATACAAAGGGTGTTAAACTCCAGTGGCTTTTTATCCCTTTCGTAAAAGCTTCTCTCCTCCTCTCGGAATACAACTTCTTGTAACCAGAGAGTGCAGTGTAATTACTGAGAGAGAAATAAATAGGAACAGAAGCCCCTTGAATGTGTTTTGCTATTTAATAATTTTTTTTTTTTTTAAACCAGAAATATTGAAACATATCTTCTTAAGTTTCTCTGTCTGATCATAAGGAGTTCTTGGATGTTTCTCTAGCGTTACCTGTTATCATCCTACTTCAGTGAACTAACAAAAGGCATATTTAAGTCTTATGTAAAATAATGTTGTAAATGAAGACCTTTTCCACATCTAGGGTGGTACTGTAGTCTAGAAAAGAACGGGTTAAAAGACTAAATCCTTATTATCGCAGTTTACAACACCATCCCAGATGGCATATGCCTCTGAGAGTCAGCAAGAGACTTTTCAGTAAAGCACATTTGGCTTTTCCAAATATTGTGGTACCTTTTCACAAGCTCTTTTGAAGCACACAAAGCAGTGGAATCCCGTATAGTTGATGCAACAGCCGGCTTGCGTGTCTGAAGAAGTGAAGATTTTCAGATGCACCACTTGCTTTACTGGCAACTCATTTTTAATGATAAACGCCAGGTAGCCGTGGTTTGAAAAAGAATATGCTAGACAGTAGTTAATATAAGTGAAAGGGGGAAAATACATATCCAACTATTACAGTTTCTGACCGCCGTGGCTCAGGTAAACCCCGACCAAAGAGTGAAGGCTTCGAGCTGTATAACAACTCCACTCAGAACGGGTCCCCCGAGAGCCCGCAGCTGCCGTGGACGGAGTACAGCGAACCCAAGAAGCTGCCGGGGGATGAGAGGCTAATGAAGAACAGAGCCGATCATCGCTCCAGCCCCAACGTAGCAAGTAAGGAAGTTTATCCTTCTAGGGGTAGATGCCTCCTCCACTAGCCTTACAGGCTGTTGAATTCAAAAAGGGGATGATTGTTTTTAAAAATGGATTGTGTTTAAAATGCCAACGTAGTATTAACATTTGGAGCAAGCCTGCTGTTAGAACTGTTCAAAGGAAAATCATAGTTATTTTGTGAATACTATTATTTTATTAAGTTACGTAAATGATTATTAACAGTCATGTAAATGCTTCCTTTAACTTTCCAACAGATCAGCCTCCAAGCCCGGGGGGAAAGAATGCTTATGCATCTGGAACTACCACCAAAATAACCTCAGTCTCTACTGGAAATCTCTGTACAGAGGTCAGAAACGGCAAGCAAAACTCTGGCTATTAAACTTTCCGTAGCTATCGATAGCGTCAGTGTGCTGGAATCAAACCAGCCCCTTGCTTAACTCTTTGAACCTAATGCTGGTGGAAGTGGCTTGGGGGGGGGTTGCTTATTACAGCTAATGAGATTGAGACAGCTTTGAGTGATTTGTGTTAAATTTTGTTCATGAAGTTGTCCTGGTGAGTTCTTAGGTTTGTACAATATTGCCTACTTGTTTTCAGACCGTAAAAATATGAGTCATAACCACAATTATATTGGATACTGGACAGCCTCTTTATCTCCTGATCCAGACCAATAATGCCAAAAGAAAACATTTGGAAGGTGCATGTTTAGAATAATATTCCATACAGATCTGCGTGATTAGAAAAATCTACCTTGTCTTCTGTTTGCCTTTTCCAGGAAGAGACTCTGCCTCCACGACCTGAAGCTTACCCCATCCCGACACAGACCTACACTAGAGAATATTTCACGTTCCCAGCTTCAAAGTCCCAGGATCGAATGGGTCCGGCTCAGAGCCAGTGGCCAAATTATGAAGAAAAACCGCAGGTCCCGGCAGAAAGTAATCATTCGCTCAATACTACGATGCAGGTGAGAAGTAATTCCTTTCAATAGAAGAAAAAACCAGAGACAAACTGCTTGCTTTCCACTCCCAGGCTGCTGGGGGCATTTTTGCAGAACAGTCAACTCTGTAATCACTGAGCTGCTGAGGACAAACTGTACCATAGGGCGGAGAGCATCGGTACTGTTGCCAAGACTATCTCGGGTTCAGAAACCTTATGCTCTTTTTTTTTAAAATCTTTTTCTTTTTTGGGGTCCCCCCCTGTAGAATTTGTATTATGATGTTCTGCAGGCCTGTTACCTGGGGTGTTTCAGTCCCCCAGGAGAGGTGATGGGGTGTTGATGGTAGTAGGTTTTGTCTTGTAAAATGTTTTGTGGCTTTTTGAAAAGCAAACTAAATCTTTCACTCTTCCGAGGTTTACATGGCAAAAGCTCTTCTCCTGCGGGGTGTGTTGTTTAAGTGACAAAGGGAAGCATTAAACATGAAACAAAACGGTACTTTGAGGCCTGTCCAGGGTCTTCACTGAAACACATTTCCAGCTCTTAGTTAAAAAAAAAAAAGATTCAAGTTGTATCTGTTATCAAAGTGCAGATGCTTCTTGACCTGAAATCAGTTTACCCCACTGTACCTTGATAAATTCAAAAAATAATGTTGTTCTGCTCTTTGTAAATGAGGACTTTGCTCAAATCCATGCAGAAAATTAAATCTGAATTCTGTCACTGGATCATCTTTTTCTGTAATCCACCAGAGACATTAAAATACAGAGAGAAAGCTTTTTTTGCCATTTTTTAATTTGTGGTGCAAGCAGAGCCTACACCAGGCTCAGTATGTTTTACTTTCTGAAAAGCAGTGTCATGTAAATTTATCTTCAGACAGCGTGATAGAAGCCAAGTGAGGATGGGTTATTGGTTACTCACACATGTATCAGCAAGTGAATTCCCTAAAAAGTCAATTGGATAAAAGCTCAGTGCTTTTTGTTTTGGTTTTTTTTCAATATTGTAGATACCAAATCCTAATTATTTCAGCTGTTAAGAAAACAGATGTGCGATGGTAATTCTGAAGGAGAACGCCGCACGTTAAATGACCGCAGCACATAGCTCTGGAAATACCATGCTGAAGAGGAAAATAGACTTAAAAAAAAAAAAATCATCCTTTTAATCTTTACAGTGAGAACTAGGCTTGTTAAAAAAAACCCCAAACAAATAAAAAAAACCAAACCACAAACCCACATCCCCACCCCCCCAAATAACCCAAAAGAATCCCCCCAAAAAGCTGCTGTGTGCTCCTGACTGATGGGCGATGCCTGCGTTAGCAGACTGCTTGGCTGGGTGCGTCTGCACAGCAAATCGGACACAAGCAGCTCTTGTCCAGCTCTGCTGGCCTAATAGAGCGTGAAGAATAACACTCGTTCACCTCAAAGGAAGGCATTCTTTAGAGGTCGTGGTTCAGGTCTTGGATGGAGGAAAAACAAAAGGAGTTTGCTTCGTTAGTCTTCTCTCGGTTGGTGATAATTAGTACGTTATGTGCTCGGTGCTTAGTCGTTCCTAACATGGAAAGTATGAATATTTGCTTCAAAAAAATCATTAACAGATTGGATAAGCCTAAATTAATGCCCGGTATTCCTGTTCAGGAGATTGTTCGGTACAGTCGGACCCTGAGCTTGTAGAAAAAAACCCGTTTGTTGCCCTAAAAAAGCGACAGAGGCACAGACGGGCCCCCCCGTGCCCCCAGAGCGGGGGGAAGCAGCCCTGGCCGCCCCAGTTCCCTGCCCGTGAGCGCTGCTCTGGCACTGGGAGCTTCCCACGGGCATCTCGCCTGGTGGTGGGGTGAAAGCAGCGGCTCCCTTCTCCTCCCAGTAAGAAAAACGTTCACTGGAGCCGGCTGAAGCCCGAGCAGCCGAGCTGAGCTGCCTGCGCCGAGCTGCCGGGCTCCCGTGCTGAGGAGCTGTGCAAGCTGGGGAGGTCTCAGCTGGAGCACCATTTGCGTCCTCCCAGTCCAGATTTCCAGGCGTTTCAGAGCTTGCAAAGTCCCCCACCGCTCCAACGAGTTAAAAAGACTGAGAATATTTTATTGTTGGGTTTGGGAAACGTACTGGGCATGGAAATGCTGAGATTCACTAAAAGCAATTACCTTCAGTAATAAGAATGCGGTTTGTGAGCCATTTTCAAATATGTTTTAATACAGACGGGCGATGAAATACATGCCTTGGTTCATTTTTTCCAGCGTGTGGCTCGTTCCCAGGAAGAGCTCCGCGATAAAGCTTTCCAGCCAGAGAGGAATCGTTTGGAAGTCGTCATACGGAAGGACGCGGAGTACATCGATCGGAAGTCGGACAGCGACCAGTGGATGAACTCGTCTGTGGATTCCAGCACGTCCAGCCAGGAGCACCTGAACCATTCGTCCAAACCGGTCTCGCCTGGTTCTTGTTTAGCTAAAAGTGGACCTGGCCGTTGGAAAACCCCAGCTGCTAGCCAGCCAACTCCAGTGGCCATTTCCCAGCCCATCAGGACAGAGCTTCCCCCTCCGCCGCCGCCTCCTCCGGTGCATTATGCAGCTGAGTTCGATGAGCTGCAGATGGATCTGCCTCTGCCTCCCCCTCCTCCTCCGAGTCAGGTAGGAGCACAAGCGTCCTCCCAGGTGGCTGCTGCGGAGCGTAAGAAAAGAGAAGAGCATCAGAGGTGGTATGAAAAGGAGAAGGCACGTCTGGAAGAAGAACGAGAGAGGAAACGTCGCGAGCAAGAGAGAAAGCTGGGCCAGATGCGTTCTCAGCCGCTAATTCCCGCTCAGCCCGTGGTTCCTCCTGTTTCCCTTCAACAAGTGAAATCGGAAAAGCCTTCAACTTTGCAGAGGCCTCAAGAAACGGTCATTCGAGAGCTGCAGCCGCAGCAGCAGCCTCGGACTATTGAGCGGAGGGATCTGCAGTACATCACGATCAGCAAGGAAGAGCTGTCCTCTAGCGACAGCCTCTCCCCGGACCCCTGGAAGCGGGACGCCAAGGAGAAGCTGGAGAAGCAGCAGCAGATGCACATCGTGGACATGCTGAGTAAAGAGATTCAGGAGCTTCAGAACAAGCCCGATCGTACGGCGGAAGAAAATGACCGCCTGCGCAAACTCATGCTGGAGTGGCAGTTCCAAAAGCGGCTGCAAGAATCGAAGCAGAAGGATGAAGATGATGATGAAGAGGAGGACGATGACGTGGATACGATGCTCATCATGCAGCGACTGGAGGCAGAACGGAGAGCGAGGGTAAAAGGGGTTAATCCTTTCTAAACAAAAGTATTGTGAACTTATATCTTGGTGGGGTCTCTGGCTTTGTCCAAGTCTTTCGATGTTCTTGCAGGGTAAAGGAGGACGAAGCTTTCTGAAATACCTTGAATTTTAGAATTGCTAACTGGCAGTGGCTTCACCAGTTAAGCGATGTATTATGACAGCATCATAGCTACCCATGACAGAATCCAAGCTGGCAGTCGAATTTACTGTTCTGGTTGTGGGGAAAGACATTCCCCTTGGATAAAGGGATTGTGCCGTGTAGCTGGAGTGGGATTAGTAGGTTAAATATGGCGGGAGTTTGCTTGTGGGAAGGTAAGCAAAAACATTTGAAGTTATGAAAGTCTCTAGGAGAATCGAGAACAAAAAAATAGTGTGATTTTTTTGTTTTCTCCCACCCCTCCCCCCCAGTATATCTGCCTCTAAGTGTTCTTATTTACAGCTTGGACCTGAGCACAGACACTGGATGCGTGCGGTTCCCAGGGACCAGCGAGCTGAACGGAGGTTCCACTGCGGTGGTCTCCTCCAAGCAGTGAGTAAAGAGATTCAGGAGCTTCAGAACAAGCCCGATCGTACGGCGGAAGAAAATGACCGCCTGCGCAAACTCATGCTGGAGTGGCAGTTCCAAAAGCGGCTGCAAGAATCGAAGCAGAAGGATGAAGATGATGATGAAGAGGAGGACGATGACGTGGATACGATGCTCATCATGCAGCGACTGGAGGCAGAACGGAGAGCGAGGGTAAAAGGGGTTAATCCTTTCTAAACAAAAGTATTGTGAACTTATATCTTGGTGGGGTCTCTGGCTTTGTCCAAGTCTTTCGATGTTCTTGCAGGGTAAAGGAGGACGAAGCTTTCTGAAATACCTTGAATTTTAGAATTGCTAACTGGCAGTGGCTTCACCAGTTAAGCGATGTATTATGACAGCATCATAGCTACCCATGACAGAATCCAAGCTGGCAGTCGAATTTACTGTTCTGGTTGTGGGGAAAGACATTCCCCTTGGATAAAGGGATTGTGCCATGTCGCTGGAGTGGGATTAGTAGGTTAAATATGGCGGGAGTTTGCTTGTGGGAAGGTAAGCAAAAACATTTGAAGTTATGAAAGTCTCTAGGAGAATCGAGAACAAAAAAATAGCGTGATTTTTTTGTTTTCTCCCAACCCTCCCCCCCAGTATATCTGCCTCTAAGTGTTCTTATTTACAGCTTGGACCTGAGCACAGACACTGGATGCGTGCGGTTCCCAGGGACCAGCGAGCTGAACGGAGGTTCCACTGCGGTTGTCTCCTCCAAGCAGTGGCTGGGGCGTAAGGCGGCCGCTACCCCTGCCTCTGCCACCCCTCGCAGCGCCGAGCCGCGGGGTTTGGCTGCGCCCTGCCAAGGGCTCCAGCTCGTACGGACCTGGATTTTGCGTGGTGTCCAGTTTGATCAGTGTCCCAGTCCCACCAGGTTTGCTTACCTTGGCTTCAGCGCTGTCAAAGCTCGTAATACAGCGAAGAAGAGAACGCAGCTGACCAGCGCGGTGACGTTTTTATCGCTCCGCTGGTGGCTGTCGGCTCTCAGAATCTGTGAAGTCTGTTGTTACTGGGAAGCAATTTCCATAGGAAAACTTGTTTTTCTTTCCTGAAGAACAGCACGGATAGCAAAGCTGCGTACTAATCGCTGCGCTTTGGCAGGCTGAAAATGCAGCTCTGCAATATGCCGAGTGCCTTCGGTCCGTTTCTCTTGAAAGGTTGACTTAATTCTGTGATAAACAGTTTTGAATTCTTGAGAAATGTTTGCAGATGCTTCTTTTGACTTTCAGAAGTCGCCATGGGCTTCAGTAGTATTTGAGTTCTGGATTGTTTTGGCAGCTGGATTTCCTAAACTTGCTCTGCTCACGCTGACTGCAGTCCGCACCGCTTTCCTTTCTTCTTGTGGCTGACTTTATTACTGCGTAGAACAACAGATGCCTCAAACTTGGACACTGAAGAAAGGAAAAGCCAAACAGATCTTTGGCAAGCAGGCTGCCATAAAGCCCGGCGTCACTAATGTGTGGTTTGTAGCACATAGGCAGTTACCTGTGGGCATAAAAAACCCCATGTAAAACTGCCATTTTAACAAATGATGTCTGTAAAACGTTCCTGTGGCAAGGCAAAAAAGGCCACGTGGCACTAACAGAAAGCCAGCTGTGGTGCACAGCGCCGTGTCCCTCTTCTCTGTAAGTGCTGGCTTTAAAATGCTGTTTGTGCATAAAGTGCTTCCAGCATTCTGGAACATTTTGAAACTGAGAAACAACGGTTGTCCTGAACTGAAGTGCAGTTTGCAGTGTGGTTACGCTGCGCAGTCTGTAGCAGGAGAGATGCACTAAGCAGCATCTCTGGAGAAACACGGAGGTTTTGAATGAGTCAAGCTGATACTGATAAAAATCTCAGATGGATTGTTTTCATTTCTGTATTTCAGGGTGATGTCAATTCAGTTCTAAAGCAGCTGCCTTAACAAATAAAAGAAAATGCTTTTGAAATAGCACAAGTCTAACCTAGCTTTATTTTCACTGTGCTTCTGTCTTTTTTTTCTCCTTTCTTGCTACCTGCAGCAGACTGCTGTGCCAGCAATCTCTGTTCTAGATTTGGTATGTTTGCTTCTTTCTCTTCAATATCTCTTTCCCGTTTCAATTTCCTGATGTTGTTGTTAACCCCCCTGTGTGCTTTGGGTGATGATTTGGCATCTTCGGGTGTTCAGAAATCGTCGTGACCCAAAGAGCAGTAGGCTCACGGCCAGCATGCGTTGGAGTGTCTCCAGATGCCCTGACTCCCTTCCCTCTGGAGCCTGGGCTCTGCTTGCAGGCGTGGTTGGTTGGTTGTAGCAGTGCTCTGGTAGAAAACTGTGTCCTGGGTGTTTTGTGCAAGCATGTTCGTAAAATCTGACCAAGAACTTTGAAAGAGCAGGCTGTGAGGTAAGAGCCCTTTTTCCTTTTCCCTTTTTCTTCCCTTTTTCTTCCCTTTTTCTTCCCTTTTTCTTCCCTTTTTCTTCCCTTTTTCTTCCCTTTTTCTTCCCTTTTTCTTCCCTTTTTCTTCCCTTTTTCTTCCCTTTTTCCCTTCCATTTTCAGAAGAGCTCTGGCCACACCAGTCCTTGCCAGTTTGAAGTGAAATTGTCCTCAGAGCTGGACAATACAGCACGCTGCTCAGCATGTGCTGAAACGCCGTTCTTCACAGGTGTTAGAATTTTCTCATTAAATTCAAAATGGATTGTAAACTCAGGAATTACTTCTGAACTAACACTTCCAAGTAGGACACATAAACATGCAATTCTTAAGTTACCATATAATTTCAGTTTCATTTGGTTAATACCATTCTGCATCTGAAACAGGAGAGGCCTTCAGGTGGGAGCAGTAATTGCTATGACTGCGGCTAATTCTGTATTTTTATTGCTCTCGTTGGAAATGGGTACATGGAAAAAAAGTTCTGTAGGCTTCTAAAGGAGAAATACCTCCCCTTCGAAGTGTATTTCTGTATAATGAGTATACTAATTTGAAAGAAAGGTAATGCTTACAAGTCACAGAATCACAGAATGATCCTCTTAGTATAATTAATTTGAGCTGCTGGAAAAAAATGTTAACACGTCTGTTCAATGTATGGATTTGGATATTCAGCACTGATTTATTTTTTTAAAAAGTCACCTTTTAAAATGCGTCCTGAGATAACTGGGTGAGGCTGCCGGAGGTGTTTGGCTTTGTGTCTGTGGCACACGAGCGTGAAGCAGTCGGCAGCGGTGAGACGGGTGAAGCGTGGCAGCTTTCCCGATTGGCGGACGAGCCGGGAGTCGTGGATTTTCCAGACTTAGTATCTATCAGTGCTTTTTCTTCTTACTACTCCTGAATTTTTTTTGCTTAAGCCTTGGTCCCCGGAGCTGCGACTGGATAGATGAAGTACTTGGGCAGGCAGGCTGTAACCTTCTGGATCTTTCCACGACGGGAGGCTGTGGAGGCAGACAGTATCGTTAGCTTCAGAAGTGGGTTAGACAAGTTCATGGCCGTCACGCTTGAGAGCAGCTCCGGCAGGGGCTACCCGGGGCTGTGCCAGCCGGCGTCTGGGCTGCCGTGCTGGGGGCTGGGGGAAGCACAGCCATGCTCATGTGCAGCTCTGCTCCCCACGGTCGGAGACGGAATTCTGCTCCAGATGGATCCGTGGCCTCAATCAGTCCAGGATTTAGTATGTTCATAAATTTAGCTTTAAAAAAAGAGAGCAAGCGAATTCTGAAATAGATGATGTTGAATGCTATGCCCAGCAAATACCTCTTTTTTCCGAATTTCATCATTTTCACGCTGTTCACATGGTTTTCTGGGAATACTTGCACCTACCCTATACCACTTCATGTACTCAAGAAATTACCTTGTAGTTTCTAGAGGGGGGAAGAAAAATACACTTTAGAATGCTCCCTGCTTTTTTCTGCGTGTCTGACGTGAGCATTGCTGATAGCTGTTTAGTTAAAAGGCTGGAGAAAGGTGGTGAATAGTTACTGCATGAATTGTCAGCTTGCTAGTGTTTGTGTTTTAAATTCCCCAGGCCACTAACAGGTCTGACCCAGCCTTAGTTGTCACACGTAAATAGGTATAAATTTAAATCTGGAATATAAATATAATTAAATATAAATCTGAAATGTGAGACTTCTCAGGTGCCTGCCGGTCCCATCACTACCTTCACGTTCATGATAAGGAGCCGATGGGCTGATCGTTCCAGGGAGCATAGCTTGGAAGAAGGGTGGCTTTTCCTGCCCTCTGCTAGGCAGGAGCAGTGCTGCAGGCACCTGTGGGCGAGGGGGGACAGAGCTGTGCGGCTGAGCGAGCTGGTGGCACTTCCAGTAGAGCTGGGACAGAGCAGGGGGAAAGAATTAGTGCTGTGTGCTCAGCTGCTTCGCTGGGTTACAGCTCGGACAGTGCTCTTCTCCGTCACGCTGGCTGTACTGGTTGGATATCAGGAAACATTTCTTCACTGCAAGAGTGGCCAGGCCTTGGACCAGGCTGCCCAGGGCAGTGGGGGAGTCCCCATCCCTGGAGGGGTTCAAAAACCGTGTGGATGTGGCACTTTGGGACATGGTTTAGCAGGCATGGGGGTGTTGGGTTGACGGTTGGACTTGGTGATCTTAGAGGTCTTTTCCAGCCTTACTGATTCTGTGATTCTACCTGTTACAATATACATCTGTGCTGCTTTGGAGAAACCCTGGAAGTAGAGCAAATCACGTGAAAATGTGGCATTTAAACTAGAGAAAACCTAATTGGGATAGAAGCATTAATCATGCTTCTCTGGGCAACCTGGGCCAGGGCCTCACCGCCCTCAGAGTGAAGAATTCCTTCCTTAGATCTCATCTAAACGTCCCCTCTTTCAGTTTAGAGCCAGTCCCCATTGTCTTCTTTAGTTAAGGCCACCAGAAAATCAGACAAACCAGTCGCACGTCCCCTTTAATCTCATTTGAAATATTTCCTTGGTTAAGTGCATCCGAACAGGAATATTGGTTGCTAAACGCGAAGGCAGCCGTGCCGTAACCTGGGAGCAGCGACTGCCACGGGCAGTTTTTCTCTAAAGGCAGCTGGGACAGACTCAAGGCATTTCCCTGTTTTTTTTTCACTGTGCAGTTTTTGACCTTTTTTTGAGAGGAAATTACTTCTCTTCTACCAACTCTTTTGAGTTAGGAGCTGTCTTCCTTTTTGACAGCAATATTACCTCCTTGGCTGGAGTGATGTCTTTTTAATAACCAAGACAAGAAGAGCTCTTAATCCAAGCAGGGAGCTGGTTAACTACTTTATTCCCTGCTCTACCATACATACCGAGCTTGATCTCTGGCTTTATGTCATTTTCAGGCAGGGATTACAAAAGTTTTAGCCCTAAATAAGGGGAAGTTCCTCAGAGATTGCATCCTCTAGTATACATTTGCCAAATTCCCGCCTAAATGAAATTCATAAATTTTGTTCTTTAGCTTTCATGCTCAAAAATGGTGGTTTTCAACACTTCAGATCAGAGGTGTTTTCGCTTCAGGTAGTCTGTATAGCTGCTTGAAGATGCAGAAAGCAAATGTTTTCAGAATTACCTGTTGTACAAGGTCGTAGGATAACACAAATACTGCATGAACAGTGGGGGGAAATAATTACCAGAAAATCAGTCAAAAAATAAGTCTGTTTTTAGAACGCATTGGAAAATCAATTAGGAAACCTAATCTTCTTTAAAGCACATTTTCTGTTAATTATCTGGCAGGCAGAGACACCTGCCTGAAGGTTGTCCTCACAAAGTCTATTAAAACTGAATTTCTCTTACTGTATTGTTACTGTTTCGTGTCTTAAGGGCCTCCCTCTGGACATGAAACTGGACTGTGAGAACCAAATCTAGGAGCAGAGAAGTGTCCAAGTGACAGGCAGCTTAGAGCAAGATACACCCACAGAATGGTCGGGGTTGGAAGGGCCCTCTGTGGGTCACCCAGTCCAATCCCCTGCCGAAGC